GAACTCCATTAATGCAAGCTAAGCTCACATGGAGAGAACTGAAACTGGAAAGGAGAATTGCATGAAGCTGTAAAATTTTTATTGAAAAATGAATTAAGGAACTAAGCATTACAATGTGATCCTTTATATACAATCAATGATCTGGGAGTTCTGGAAGATTCTAATCCTAACTGCATAACAGAATTCTAACAACCAAACTGATGCCTAACTAACTACAATATAACTATCTTTCTTAATATTAAATATAACTAATTCGACTGTGTAGTCTCATCACCCCCCCTCAAGTTGGAGGTGAGAACAGAAAACTTGCTCAAGGGTGTAGTATGTTTGACCCCAGTCAAGGCTTTGGTGAAGATATCTGCCAGCTGCGAATCAGTGGATATGTGGTGAAGTGTGATAAAGCCTTGTTGAAGTTTACTCCTAACAAAGTGACAATCAATTTCAATGTGCTTTGTCCTTTCATGAAAAACTGAATTCTTGGCAATGTGTACTGCCGCTTGACTGTCAAAGTGAACATGTATAGGCAAGGAGCACTTTACTGTCAACTCATCAAGTAGTCTTTCCAGCCACACTAACTCTCCTACCACTTGTCTCACAACTCTATATTCAGCTTCTGCAGAGGATAAAGACACAATGGCTTGCTTCTTGGACTTCCAACTAATAGGACTATCCTCCATAAGGACCAGGTACCCACTGACAAACTTCTTTGAATCAGGGCAAGCTGCCCAATCTGAATCACAATAAGCACTGACAGTGAGGTCAGGCTTGTTTGAGATGAAAATTCCCAGTGTAGGGTCCTGCTTCAAATATCTGAGAACATGGTAAGATGCTTTCAAGTGTGGTTCTCTAGGTGTTTGCATGAATTGGCTTAGGTGTTGTACACTGTAGGCTATGTCCGTCCTTGTGTTTGTGAGAAAATTTAGTTTGCCAACTAATTTTCTATAGTAAGTAGGATCTGGCAGTAGCTTCCCATCTGTAGCCTTCAACTTTTCAGTGTAATCAAGTGGTGAAGTAGTGACTTTGCAATTCAAGACATCAAACTCTTTTAAAAGATCAGAAGTAAACTTTGTCTGTGAAATAAGAGCACCATCATGCCTGTACAGTATTTCTAGCCCCAAGAAGTAATGTAGTTTCCCTAATCCTTTATCTTGAACTAGGGAGTTTATCTCACTTACATCAGTGCCAGTGAGGATTATGTCATCAACATAAATTGCAACAAAAACCAAAGAGCTACCTTTTTTTCTATAGAACAGTGAATAGTCACTATCCGAGTGTTTGTATCCTTCTGAGTGAAGACTGCTGGCCAACTTATCATACCACTGCCCGTTGGCTTGTTTCAATCCATATAAGGACTTTTTCAATTTGCACACCATAGTGTTGCAACCTACTTCAAAACCTTATGGAGGTGTCATGTACACTTCTTCATTTAAGTCACCATGTAAAAAGGCATTGTTGACATCTAGTTGGTACATACTCCAACCCTTCTTAACAGCCAAGGAAATAAGTGTCCTAACAGTAGTCATTTTAACAACATGTGAGAATGTTTTAGTATAGTCTACTCCAGCCTGCTGTGTGTACCCATTTACTACCAATCTAGCCTTGAATCTTTCCACACTACCATATGCCTTATGTTTGACTTTGTACACCCATTTACAGCAAATAACATTTTTCCCTCTAGGTAATGGGACCAGGTCCCAAGTGTCATTTGCATACAATGCTTCAACTTCTTGTGTCATGACCTATTGCCAGGCAGGATGCAACACAGCTTCTTCATATGAATTAGGTTCATAATCAAGTGATATGGTATTTACCAACTGCTGACTATCAGAACAAAAAGTGGTGAAACAAACATGGTCATGGTGAGACAAAAATAAGGTGAGAGAGTGATGTGGAGCAGAGGTGTTATGTGCAGGTGTGGAATAATGTAGATTGGGTAGTCTGTAAGTGTAGTCATGTAGGTAGTTAGGGGTGTGAATGGTCCTAGTTGTTCTTCTAGGTGTTGGTTTAGCATCATTGGTCACATGAATACTTGGAGTAGTGGGATTTTCTGCACTGGTATGTTCAGTTGAGGCTGCAGGTAAATGTGTGTGCTCATGTGTGTTTGTGGTTACCAGATTATTAGTGACCTTATGTGATGTAGCATTGTTCAACAAATCATTATCAACATAAGTATTTATTGGACCAGGTACACAAGTTGAATTAGTAGAATGAACAAGCAATTTTAAAAATTGAAACTAGAACCGTCAGGAGCAATGACCAAATGGAAAACCTTTTCATGGAAGACAACATCTCTGGATATGTGAACTCTTTTGGTAGCCAAATTTAGGACTTTGTATCCTTTTGTGTTGAAAGGATATCCAACAAAAATGTGAGGCATGGTTCTAGGTTCAAACTTATCCTTGTGAGTCTTTAAAACAGTAGGAAAGCAGAGGCAACCAAAACTCTTAAGGTCGGAATAAGTGGGTTGTTTGTGATATAATAGCTCATATGGGGTCTTGTTATAGAGTAGTTGAGTAGGTAATCTATTGATGAGATATGTGGCTGTCAAAACACATTCTCCACAGTACCTCATAGGCAG